GCTTTAGAGGCACCCAAAATGGCCGCCGCTATGGAGGAATTTCGCTTTAAGGTAGGTTTTTAGCCCATAGGAACGTATTACACGTGTTTTAATACGTTCCTATGGGCTTTTTTAAATCGCTTAACGATTAATTCACTTAGCGACGTTTTTCCTGGAACGGATTAACGTCCCTAAGTGAGGCACCACTGTATAAGTGAGGCACCAACTTTGGGAATTGTAAAGGAGCATATCCTTTATATTAAAAAGGAGAATTAAATTGAAATAAGGGCACTCTAACCAGGGTAATGATGTAATATGGTGGGTTTTCATTTTAGGTAAATTAAACTAGATATAAGGTTGGAGCATGGATCTGGAACTACATTTATTAAGAATGTTATTAGAAGATCCTGAGAATATTGTACACTATGAAAGTAATATTATGATAGTAGCCATATTATATACTAAAATATGTACATGAATGGTCTGAATGTTTGAAAGATGTCTGGAATTTGGGGGGACAACTGGGAAGACAATGAGGTGTAAAAATCAAATAATTGTAAGCAAATCATGTAACACGATGTTTGACAAGCACAAATCAAATGTACAGAGTGGAAAACTAAATAAAATGTTTTAAAACAAAGAAAAAAGAAATAGATCCCTGCTCCCTGTGAGGGGGGAAAGCCACTGAAAGGTTACATTTTATTAGGTGGTGCTCTGTCCATGACAATGGTACCGACACGTCAGTCATCATCAGACCACACTCGCTCCAATTGGTGGAAAAAACCAGGTACTAACATATGACTACCCACGTGGGTGGGGCTGTTGACATGCTGGGATGTGTTCAAGGAACTCATGGTTTCCAAGAACTCAACAGCCAGCCCAAAAGTCTCTGCCTCTGCGTGAATGTCGAAGTCACCCAAAACCAATAGCTTTGAGGACCTCAACAGTGCCACGGAGACAAAGTCCACGAGCTCCGGAAGGGAAATGGCTGGGTCGCAGGGATTGCGGTAACCCAGCAAGATCCCAATACCATCCCTGGCCCCAATTGACACGTGGTGGGCCTCCAGACCCGTCTTTACCATCAAGGAGCATAGTAACCTCCAAGGTGTTTTTATATACAATTGCTACTCCCCCCACCCCTTCAGTCTACCCTGGTGCTGGACAGCATGACCAGGCAGACAGGCAAGTGTTAGGGGAGGACCCCCCTCTCCGCCTATCCATCTTTCAGTTATGCATGCCAGGTCTGCATCCCCTTCCAGAATAAGATTGTAGATAATCTGGAATTTGTTAGATACAGACCTGGCGTTCAACAACACCAGTTCTAGAGTGGAGGGTCGGTTGATCTGGTTACCTCGATACTGACGGTTGATCACAGTCCCAAACAGTGAACAGCCTTTAAGCATCTGTTCATCGTTCTTCTAACATGAGTAGAGGCTGTGCCAGGGCCATATTTCCCTCTACCCATAATCACGGAGATGTTCAATGGCCCCTCGCTGGGAGGGCAGGCCTTCCATTCCATGTCAAGAGAGGGGGGGGGAAAGAAAACAGAAAAACCCTAAATTAATACAAACAAATTAAATAATAACAAAATTAACATAAGAAAGAAGAAAAATATACTATTTAACTAAACATCTATCTTTGAACACTAATTAATTTAAGGTGCAAATTGTCCAGAAAGACAAGACAAGAAAGGAAAGAAAGAAGAAAACACAGTAAAGTAAATACATAAACCAGGTGCAATATAATAAACTGATAACCCCACACTATAAAATACTGTAAATTAGAAAATAAACATAAAATACAAAATAAAATAAAATAAAATTTAAAGAGAAAAAAACCCAGGGTTTTTACCCCCCACATATAGTCCTGATCTGCCTTACTTTGCCTTGTGATCTTGTCCTTCTAGGTGTTATTAAGTTAGATGTTATCAAGAGCCCTAGGGTGCAGTTCTTACAAATGAGGCAGGTTTCAGAAGTCTTGGCAGTAAACAGAGGAAGCAACAGCAGCACCAAGATCAAAGTTAGAAGTGGCGCTACTGTTGCCATTTTCTTCCCTTGGAAAATAATTGAAGAGTCATCACTGGCCGTGCTAAGGAATGAGGGGGAAAGAATGTCCTGGCAAGGTTGTTACTGCTGCAGCTCCCAACATGGTGGCTTGTAAGAACAGCCGGCTGTAGCCCATGACGAGTAGATATTTCTCCCCCATGGCTATTTTAGCTCTCTCGCGTCTGGAGCTTCAAACAGACCGCCCTGCTTCACCAAGCCTCCTGATGCTCTTGGAATTCCCCAAACACCCTCCAACAATCACAGAAGACCCAGCAGCCTTCCGACGATCTCCAGGCTTGCTTCAGGCTCCAGGCTTGCTCCGTCAGGGCTTCTCGCTGAACCTCTCACCAGACTCCAGCTCCCAGCAATTTCCCATGGTGGTGTTTTCTGGGACCGCGCAATGAACCTCCAAGCTCTGCTGGTTGGCCACCATAGGCCCAGCGTTCTGAGCTCCTGCGCCAGTCTCCGCGTCCACGCTCATCTCACCACTCGCCCCGCAGCTTGAGTTCACGGCACCAGCCCCCAATGCCTCCAAAACAGTCCTTTCCTCCCCCAGCGCATTGAATCAGGTAGGTAACCCAACGAGGCAACAAAAGGCAGAACAGTACAGAAAAGAAGAAAAGTAAAAATAAAATGCTAGAAAGAAAAACAAACCAGTGCGGCGGCAAAAACACTACCCGCCCATCACCGGTGCCATCTTGAAAATCTCAAATCAAAGCAGATCTTTGATCCAAATCAAAGCAGTTCTGCCAAGTGATTGTCCCAATTTTCTCTTGAATGCCTCCAGTTTGGTGCACTCATCTTGTCCTGAAGTCATGGGTTCCCTTGTCCTACTGCTCTAACAATTAGGGACTTTTTCCTGATATTCGGCCGAAATCTGGCTTCTTGTAACTTGAGCCCCTTGTTGTGTGTCCCGCACTCTGGAAATATCAAGAACAAATATCGCTCCTCCTCCAACCTTTCAAGTATGTGAAGAGTGCAATCCTATCTCACTCCTTCATGGATTGCTGCCTTGTTGTGGCAAAGGGGCTTGAGTAATTCAGAGAAGCTATGGGCTATACCGTGCAGGTACACCCAAGACGGACAGGACATAGTGGAGAGTTCCGACTAAACGCGATCCACTTGGAGTAAGAATTGGCAACCCACTCCAGTATCTTTGCCTAGAATGATAAAGGACAAAAATAGCAGGGAACTCACATAAGCAGAAGACATCAAGAAGAGGTGACAAGAATACACAGAGAACTATACCAGAAAGATCTGCATATCCTGGACAACCCAGTTAGTGTTGTTGCTGACTGGAAACCAAGCCCTAGGAAGAAAGATTGAAATGATTTGGCATGTTTAGCCCAGTGAAAATGACACTAAGGAGAGATAGGATTTTCTTTTTTAGTCATTATGTCCGACTCTTTGTGACCCCGTGGCCCAGAGCACACCAGGCCCAGCTGTCTTCCACTGCCTCCTAGAGCAGGCCCAGCTGTCTTCCACTGCCTCCTAGAGTTGGGTCAAATTCATGTTGGTAGCTTCGATGACACTGTCCAACCATGTGGTCCTATGTCGTCCCCTTCTCCTCTTGCCTTCACACTTTCCCAACATCTTTTCCAGGGAGTCTTCTCTTCTCATGAGATGGCCAAAATATTGGAGCCACAGCTTCAGGATCTGTCCTTCCAGTGAGCATTCAGGGTTGGTTTTCTTAAAAATGCATAGGTTTGTTCTCTTAGCGGTCCAGGGGACTCTCAAGAGTCTCCTCCAGCACCACAATTCAAAAGCATCAATTCTTCGACGGCCACGCTTCTTTATGGTCCATCTCTCACTCCCATATATCGCTACTCGTAAAACCATAGCTTTGACTATGCGGAACTTTGTCGGCAAGGTGATGTCTCTGCTTTTTAAGATGCTGTGGAGGTTTGTCATCAAGCAGGCGCCTTTTAATTTCATGGCTGCTGTCATCATGGAGCCCTAGAAAGTAAGATCTCTGTCACTGCCCCCATATCTTCCCCTTCTATTTACCAGGAGGTGATGGGACCAGTGGCCATGATCTTAGTTTTGTTGTTGTTGAGCTTCAGACTACAGTGGTGCCCTGCATAACGAGTGCCTCGGTTAACGATGAATCCGCATAGCGATGTGTTTTTTGCAATCGCAAAAGCGATTGCATTGCGATGTTTTAAATGGCGAAAAATCACTTTGTGATGATCGGTAAGCGTTTCGCTTACCGATTTTTGCATTGCGATGTTTTTAAAACAGCTGATCGGAGGTTCCAAAATGGCCGCCGGGTAAATAAAATGGCCACCCACTGTTTTCACACCCTTTCCTCGCTTACTGGGCAGCGAAAATGGAGGCCACATGGAGGGTTTCCGCATAGTGTTGAGTTTTTCCCCCATAGGAACTCATGAAACGTGTTTTAATGCATTCCTATGGGCTTTTTATTTCCGCATATCGATGAATCCGGATAGCGATAATTTTTTCGGAACGGATTATCGTCGCTATGCGGGGCACCACTGTATTCTTGGCGCTCTCCTCTATCACCCTCATTAAGAGTTTCTTTAATTCCTCTTCACTTTCTGCCCTCAGAGTGGTATCATCTGCATATCGGAGGTTGTTGATATTTCTTCCGTCAATCTTAATTCTGGTTTGTGGTTCACATGATGTATTCTGCAGATAAGTTAAATAAGCAGGGAGACAATATCCAGCCTTGTTGTACTCCTTTCCCAATTTTGAACCAATCAGTTGTTCCACATCCAGTTCTGACTGTTGCTTCCTGTCCCACATATAGATTTCTCAGGAGATAGATAAGATGGTCAGGCACTCCCATTTCTTTAAGAAGTTGCCATAGTTTGTTGTGGTCCACACAGTCAAAGGCTTTTGCATAGTCAATGAAGCAGAAGTAGATGTTTTTCTGGAACTCTCTGGCTTTCTCCATAATCCAGTGCATGTTAGCAATTTGGTCTCTAGTTCCTCCGCCCCTTCGAAATCCAGCTTGTATTTCTGGGAGTTCTCGGTCCACATACTGTTGAAGCCTACCTTGTAGGATTTTGAGCATAACCTTGCTAGTGTGTGAAATGAGTGCAATTGTATGGTAGTTTAAGTATTCATTGGCACTGCCCTTCTTTGGGATTGGGATGTAGACTGATCTTTTCCAATCCTCTGGCCACTGTTAAGTTTTCCAAACTTGCTGGCATATTGAATGTAGCACCTTAACAGCACCATCTTTTAAGATTTTAAATAGTTCCACTGGAATGCCATCACCTCCACTGGTCTTGTTGTTAGCCATGCTTTCTAAGGCCCACTTGACTTCACTCTCCAGGATGTCTGGCTCAAGGTCAGCAACCACACTAGCTGGGTTGTCCAGGACATCCAGATCTTTCTGGTATAATTCCTCTGTTTATTCTTGTCACCTCTTCTTGATGTCTTCTGCTTATGTGAGGTCCCTTCCAGTTTTGTCCTTTATCATGTCCATCTTTGCACAAAAGTTTTCTTTAATATCTCCAGTTTTCTTGAATAGATCTCTGGTTTTTCCCTTTCTATTATTTTCCTCTGTTTCTATGCACTGTTTATTTAAGGAGGCCCTATTGTCTCTCCTTGCTATTCTTTGGAAGTCAGCAGTTAATTTCCAGTAACTTTCTTATCTGCAGGGCAACAAGCTGCCTGAACAGATGTACATCAAATGCATACATGGGGACGTTAAACTATATGGAGTGGTGCTAGCAATGATAGAGATAAGGGAACCAGAAAAGAGAACTTGAAGTGGGCCTGGTCCCTGGGCTAGGGAGAGAGATGTTGTTAGGGAGAGACTGGCACGGTATAGAGGAGCTAACACAAACAATAGCCAAAGCGCACAATGGGGAAGCAGAAGACTGTATGCTAGAGAAAGAAGTGCTGAGTATGTCCAGAGATTAATTAAGGAACTGGCAGCAGGATGATATGAGGCTTGAGGAAATTTGACTTAAGGCGGTTCCCGAAGGAACCACCCAGGAGGAAGAAATGAACTTTGAACTGAGACGGGATCTTGTACCGGGTGAAGCAGATGGAACGGGGGGAGGAGACACAATTGTTGATACCTGAGACTCAAGGGCTTGATTTTAGAAGTAGCGCATGATGTGCCAGTAGCAGGACACTTGGCTGTGCAGAAAACCTTAGCCAGGGTGCGGCAGATATTCTTTTGGCCACTCATGGCTAAAGAGACTGAAAACTATTGCTGCTCATGCCCTGAATGCCAAATTATGCAACCAAAACCCAGAATTGATACCCATGCCTCCAGTCGACAGACCCTTCAACCTTGGACATTGTGGGACTGTTGGTGAAATCGGCAGGGGGCATTTGTATACCCTTGTAATAATAGACTATCCCACGAGATACCCTGAGGCTATAACCCCCTGTACAACAACCACAAAGGTGTTGGTTAAAGAGTTGATAGGGGTTTTCTCTAGAAT